AACAATCTCTGTTTTCCTTTCCATCTCCAGCATGATTTGTGAACCCAGCTGAAGATAAGATAGATTAATTTTTTAATACTTAGCCAGATTTTAACTTTTTTAGTCCTGGAAGTGCAAATGAGTATTATTTCTTCTGTGCTTTGTGTGCTACATAAGGCAGTATATTTTTAAGGTAGGACCTAAGATTATATAACACAGAATAGTACTTATAATGTTTGGAGTAAAACTTTATAAAACTACTGACTCATGCAGATTATTTCTGTCTACAAAATTGCTATGCCATTAAAAAAACCCAACATACTCTTTACTGCATCAGTAATTCATGTACTGTTATTGTAGGCATTTAAGTGGTATGGATGCAAGTAATTTATTTGCAGATAGATTTTTTTTTTTTTTTTTTTTTTTTTTTTTTTTTGCCAGGCCTTCTGCTCAATTCTTTTATTCCCCGACCTTCTGGGCATATTTTTCCCTTTTCATGTCACTGGAATCTTTCTTTGTTTCAAGTCTCTTCCCTTTTCTAGAATGGTCTCATCTGCAAGAAAATCCATTATATCTAAACCAATCTTGATTTTTGTTCTTAAAAAGGCCTGACACTGAAATTTCCACAGCCACCTCAGTAGTCAGTTCCAATGCTTTCTTATCTGTTAGAGAGCTTTTTCTTTCTAGAAGCTTAAAAATTCTTAATGGTGTTGTAAGTCCTTTATTTAGCACTCTAGCTAGAAGTAATTGATTCTTTTCTACTTGTGGACAACTTTTATATTTTTGAATATTGTTGTCATGTCTCACCTCTATCTGATAGAGGAGGAGACTTGAAAAACTCTAATAATTCTTGCTTTTCTCCGAGTGCTCTGCAGTTGGTCACATCTCTCTCTTTTTTCCAAGTTTTATCCCTGAATTTGGTTATGCTACTCTAGTTGAAGTTTTGCTGGTGACCAGTGGAGCTGAAATGTTATTTCATATGTTTTACAGATCATATTCCAGGCTTGACACTTCAGTTTAATGGTCATTTTGCAGGACCATGTCAATATAGATCCATGGTTGACTTGTGATTCACTGTGATCTCTCAATCCTTCACTGCAGAGCTGCGTCCTAGGCAATTCTTCTGGTTCTTCTTTCTGTACAGATAATTGCTGTTAAACTATAGAATCCTTTACTTTTCCTTACCAGATTGATTTTTAACAGTTCTCAAGGCTGCATTTTAATCCTGTTCTTTAATGTTCTTTTACTTTCCATCTGGAATAGATGTTTAAACCCTGCTTACTACATCTGTGTTATTAATGAAAGTATTAAATAACTGTTCATGTAGTATTTCATGTGGTTTACTATAAATACTATTACACACATAATAGGTAGTTTTAAACATACACAAACACATTTCAATGTGTTAGCACAGGTGGCTGCTCAGACAGGAGCCACAGGTGCTTTGAGCTTGTGGTGCTCTCTCCTCCATGGGCTTATTAAGATGCCAAGACTCCACCAATGTACTCTGCTGTGTTTTCTGCTCATAATATTATGGTTTGTTACTTGACATAAAGCTAATGAGGATAAATCTGAGGATAAATCTGCATTAGTCATCCATGTGGACTCTTATACTATCCAATAGGTAGAATAAAGGTGTCTTGGCATATCTTTACTTTAATGAGGAAGAAAACTGTCCCCTTGGGCAATTAGCATGTAGAAGATAGTATATTTTTTTTCTTCCGCTTGTAAATGAGTATTTATATTGTGTTTAAAAAGTATTCAGAGTTCTACGGATGAAGATCTTGTGAAGATGAGGTGGATTTGTGTATTTAGAAGCTGGATACTCTCTAATTTGTGTCTTGAGAGAAAAAACCCAACCCAACCTTAAAAATGGCAGTCCCACTGCCACAGTCTATCTCAATACCTAAAAATCCCATTTTACATCAGGTGTCCTTTTTCTGACATTCTGAAGTGGGAATTTTTATTGCGTCCTTTGTAATGTAATTTTTAATTGAAACCTTTCCTATCAAATACATATCAAATAAACCAGTTCTTATATATGTGTTTTGACCTTAAGCAAAAGGCAAGGCTGAACACTTGACCTTAGCTTTTGTAGATTTTGGAAAAAACAAAACCTTTTCAGGAATCCTGTTGCTGCTTTCTTGAAGAAAGGTTGAAAGATCTTACAGAATAACAATCTCTGCAGAGACCCTTCACATGTACCCTGTGAATTAATTAAAATCAGCAGCAATTCAGAAGTCCCAGTTCCAAGAGTATTCGATTCAGATTGCCCCGTGGTCTTTCCTCCAGGAGGGAGAAGGCTGTGGATTCTTCCTGGCAACTTTCTGTTGTAGAGATCTGTCCTGTAGAGGGCACCAAAGAACACAAATTATTACTGCTTTAAATCTGATTATTTGGGGGAGTGGAAGGATGAGGCAGGTGAATAGAGGGAATGGGGGAAAAAGGAAAACCATAGTAATAATGTTACTAATACCACTCCTTGACCAATACCTCTGCGTTGTGCTCCAAACTCTTTATGATATTTGCATACTGAGGTGTGCAAATTAAGCCCATTTGAACCAGTGGGAATTTACACTGAACTGGTTTCTTTGGTATTCTTAGTTAAAACTAGTACCAACCCAAACTGAGCAGTCTCTTTCTTCCCTTTATTTACTGTTTCAGAGAACTAAGATGTGACAAAGCATTTAAAAATGGTTCTGGGAGGTGAATGGAATATTCATCAGTCCGGTTTACTTTTAGGTGAATATTTAGTTAGACACACATGGTGCATGTAAGTCTAAATATTTATTTCATCTTTTGAATTCTGTGAAATGCTTGATATATCCTTCTTCTAACTATGTAGTATAGCTTCTGGTGCCCGGGGGATTATAACAATATTGGCTGAATTACGTTAGAGTTTTCACAACATTTTGTGCTACATATTTCCAGTTATGTCAAATTTCAAATGAAGCTTTTCCTAAAAAATATTTTCCTGGGGCACCAAAGAAACTCAGGTTGGTGGCAAGAGTTCTGGTTCAGATTGTCAGCATGCAAATAAGGGGCTTAGAGGTGAAGGTGTCTGGAATTGGAGAAGGACCGTGAAACTGGAACAAATAGCTGGATGTTGACTGCAGCAAGACTGGAACAGGAACATACTGGGATAGAAAAAAGAATCTGTGCCCAAAACAGCACGGTCCCCTTTTGGTTACTTTGCTTTTCTGGCTTGAGCAACAGAAGACCTTAAGCCAAGAGCTGTACTGTTTTGATCCCACTAGATGATAAAAAGTCTATAGACTGTATGACAGAAGGAGTGGGTTTTGAGATACAGACAAGGAAACAGTGGTCTCAGTCAAAGAGTGTAAGGAAATTAAATTATTTGTTGCTTCTGAGATAGTTTTTATAAGAACTATGTTGATCAGTTGAATTGAATTTTCTGCAGTCACATATTGTTTATTAGTCATTTTCTGAGTGCCTGACATCAGGAATCTGATAACCAGATTAGCAGAAGTGGTTGATCTTCATGGATAGGGCTGAAGTTGTTGGATGCTGTGCTTGGGCTGTGGAAATGAGACGTGCGGTGAAGCACTCCTCTGAAGAAAGCTGTTTCAGGTATCACACCATCATGTAAGTTAGTGCTTGAATAACTGAAGTGACTTCTGATGAAGTCACCTTGTGACTGGACATATCACCAGCCTTTGTAATCACTATGTCCAGCGACGTCGGTGACGGTGTACTTCCTTTCTAAAACCATAATGATATTTCCTCATGTGGTTTAGGGAGGTGTTTGTGGAACTCCCAGGTATGGTCATGATAAGTACAAAACAGAATGCAGATAATGTGTGTTCAGATTGGAAGTTTACCAATATTCACCGGGCTCTGTGACATATACAGAAGAATAAGTATCTATGCCTTTTTCAATAATGGATCCTTTGAATGGTTAAGTGAAAAGATTTCTCCGAATTGGCTGATATTCTGATGATATTTCAGATTATTTTGCTTTGTTTAGGAAAGAGATACAATGCCTGCTGTTCTGGACGCAGCATGACTGCCGTATGCAGAGAGTACCAGGAGATTGAAAGTGATTGTTGTCCAGAATAGGATTCCAAGATTATATTAATTTTAATATTTAGGAGACTATGCTAGACAGATAGTGAGTCATAGTCTGTCCTAACACAATCTGCAGAAAACTTGCACTGAGCTTAACAGTCTATGAGAAAGAGTTTAAGAAAAAAAAGTCCTTCTGCTGCTTTGTATTTTGTTACTTGTTAGAACAGTTTGAAGTGTTATCTGATTATTATTATTTTTTTTTTAAATCTAGTAAAGCACTTTCAAAGTAATGGTAGCCTGAATGTGAATAAATCAGTGTAATGTCTTCATTAGAGTTTTCCTCTGCTGCTCTTTACTGTCAAATCACCCACAGCCAGTTGTTTCACTCTTAAGAGGGAGAACAGTGATCATTACTTTTTATAATTTTTGCATTTCACTTTCTGACTCAGCTTTCTTCCACTCATCAGTCACTCTTGCCTATTTGTTTAGCTCTCCCACAAGATTGACCTTTGCTGGATCTTATCTGGTGTCCTCCTGCTGAGTCAATGTACAGAGTCACTATTCGTGTCATGTCTCAAAATCCACCCCTGTGGTAGGAATATTTCCTCTGGCCTATGGGTACCTCTTATGGTACCCATAAAGATGAAGTTGGTTTAAAGATATATATAGATATGTATATATACAGACACACAGAAGGGAATAAACTGTTCTCCTGTGCTTTTATGTCATATTACTGGGTCCATAATATCAGTTATGTGGTATACGTGCATGTGTATGTGTACATAAAATTCACCCCCAAAGTATTTCAGTAATGTGAAAACCTCTGTATAATGGACATAATGAAAACAGCTTGACAGTCATCAAGGTTTCTTTTCTTAATAAATTGAAATACCGATTTTTTTGAAGTCATGGGCTTCCCATTTTGCTGCATGCAAGTAATAGCTAGTGGAGAGTAAATTTCAGAAACCTCCTCCTCACCCAACAGTGTTACAGTTCATAGTAACATCTTCGTCTGATGGCAAGGTGGTCTCTAAAATACTTTGCCTGGGATAAGTCTATGCCTTTTGAGGAGTTATTAGGGGATAAGTGGAACTTAACTAACCATTTCAAATGTTTGTAGTTTTTTGCTCTATAGAAGAGTAATCCTCCATAGGATAGGCTTTGGGAAACAGGGCTGGTTCATGTAGGGCTCTGATTTTCTTTTTTTATTTATCTAAAGACTTGTAGAAGAATAGTCCTCTGGGGTTGGTCAGATCTCACTGGGATGAAGATTATCACAAATAAATAAGGTTTGTTCCATTTTTCTGAGCAGAATAATAAAATAGTTTCATACAATGCAAAGGACAGCAAAGGAAACCAACAGCATCCTGGGTTATACGGACAGGAGAATTGCTGGTAGACTGAAGGAAGTGATTATCATCCTTTACTTTGCATTTGTTAAGCCACATCTAGAATACTCTTGTCAAGTTTTGGATATCCCCAGTGCCGGAAAGTCATTGACAAACTTGAGTGAGTTGAGGGAAGGGCTGCCAAAGTGACCAGGGCTGGATCTGGGAGGGCTGAGTGTACACTTGGACCCTTCCTGTGATTGTAGGGTTATACAGTCTTCCTCCAAGTTCAGTTCTACATTAAATTTAAGACTGTGGCTATAGTAGTTGGTTGTCTGACAGCACTTAGGAGTCAGAGTATTGTCTTCTTGTTTTGTTATATATTGATTTCCCATTTTTGTTTAAGTCTGTCTGTGGTATAAGGAACTTTTTTTTTTTTTTTTTTTACTGTCTAAATATCTTTTCATACTCATCAAGCTGTAGGCTTTCTGCAGCGGGAACTGATTAAGCACAGTCACACGCTGATTTGTAATATGGCGAATGCAATGAGGAGGAAAAGGAAAGGATAAACTCTTAAGAAAAATGCACGATAACAGTTAAATTCCATTTGTTTTAAATCTTATCATTTTGCAGCAAGCAGAATAACCAACAGCTCATAGTGTTTTGATTGTGGTCTGCACATAGTGCAGAATGTTTCCACAAAACAAATTTTGGCAGTTATGGCCGCATGAACATTTTTCCAAAAGATGCAGTGAGAGTTGTGAATAGTCCCAAACTCAGTCTTCTGAATTGCACTATAAACAATTATTGTAGTGTTATATACAAAAAACCTAATATACTTTCACATTGTGTGCTGCTGTTTATCTATAGGCATGAATTTATATCAATTTAATGGATACAGAACTCTCAGCACTCAGAGCTCATGCTTTTTTTGAGTTAACGTTGATTAATAAAAGTGAAATTAAGCAAAAAGAAAATATTTTGAATTAAAATAAAGACAGGCAGGTTTATACTGCAACATTATTTTGTTTGAACACTGCAATGATGTGGATGGATAAGGCATAAGGTTATTTGGCACTGAACTCAGGTACAACAGGAGTTGGTCATCTAACCCTCTTACTCTCCTTAGGAAAATTCAAATGCTATTATTTAAGCCTGCCTCTTTCTTGCATTCATTTTACCAAACTCTCCCTTTCTAAACTTGCTCGTGTGGATTTCCTCTTTAGTCAGTGGTGGGGTAAAGCCACTTTCAGGTCTTGGAGGTCCTGATTTCATCATTTGTCTTAGGATGGATGAAACACTTGCTGAAGGTGCCTTGTCTTCCCCTCTGCACTGAGAGTTCAGGGGGCCTGGAACTCCTGCCACTCAGCAGGTGAAGCAAAGGGACAAATTCCCCTATAGAAAACCAGTGATGTGACCGTTTAATGTTTTTTTTTTTTTTCCTTTTTTCTACAGGTCCATGAAGGGTTCTTGGAAAGCAAGACTGCTCCGATAAATGTCAGTGCCACCAGCAGTTCTCCTGAGAAAAGGAGCACTGATTTACGTATATACATGTTGTGTTTCCTGCCATTCCTGATCCTCCTGGTCTTTATTCGTGACCTTAAGAGCCTGTCCTTTCTTTCTTTGCTTGCCAATCTGTCCATGGCTGTCAGCCTGGTGATCATTTACCAGTATATTGTTAGAGTAAGTATGAAAAAGTTAATTACCTTTTTTTTTTTTTTTTTTTTCAGTCAAAAGATGATCTACAAGCCACAGAAGGCGAGGCTGGCCAATATATTTATTTTTTTTTCTCTTTT